TTTATTTTTTTTAACCAGGGCAATACTTCATGCTATAAAAATACCATAACTTGTTTTATCAGTTCAGCTGATAATTGGGTTGTTTCCAGTTTGGGGGTATTATGAACAAAGCTGTTGTGAACATTTCTGTGTAGTTTTTCTTGGTCAACCTGTTTTCATTTTTCTTGAGTAAACACACAGATGTAGAATTGTTGGGCTGTGTGGTAAATGTATGTCTAACTTTGTAAGAACTGCTAAATGGTTTTCCGAAGTAGATGGGGAATAAGTATATTTAATTTAAAATGTGTGGACGGTTCCTTTATTAAAGGGGTTTAACTTACTTCTCTACCAGTAACCCTCCACCTACAACATGTTACTCTAATTTTTACCAGTCTGATGGGACTGAGTCCAGATCTCATTGTTACTTTAAGTTGCAGTTCCCTGATTGATAGAGGTGGTACCAGCATTTTGGGGAAAACTTTACAGAAAATTCTAATATGCAGCTAGGGTAGAGAACTGTAGTACTGATGGATGATGGGACGAAGAAGAAGATCTTCTCTTTTTACATTTAAAGTTGCTCAGTTGTGTCCGACTCTTTTTGACCCCATGAACTAAGTCCATGGAATTCACCAGGCCAGAATACTGGAGTGGGTAGCCTATCCCTTCTCCAGGGGATCTTTCCAACCTAGGAATTGAACCAGGCTCTCCTGCATGGCAGTGGGATTCTTTACCAACTGAGCTATCAGGGAAGCCAAAAATCTGACGCTTGTAGTTTGTTTCCTCCTGCCACTTAAGAGAGAGAGAAAAGATGTCTGACACTTGCAGCATATTTCCTCCATTTGGAGACCCCTAGCCTTCCTACCATCGACGGCAAAGCCTGGTGGGCTGCCGTCTATGGGGTCGCACAGAGTCTGATGCGACTTAGCAGCAGCAGCAGCCTTCCTACCTGTTACCCTCTCATTTCCCCCTTTTCTTTTAGGAGAATTATGTTGTCTAGGGAAAGGTACATCGTCCCTAAATCATTGAGGCAACATACTCTCCTAACCCTCATATTGAGGGTCTCTGATCCAGGAGCCCCAAGTAGTAGTTGGAGGAAGCTGCCGCAGTGGCAAGGATTTTGAGCAGCCATTTGTAACTTAAAAGCCTTCATGTGGCTAGAAACAAATCCAGTCACACAGTTACAGATACAGGCAGCAAACAGCAAAAACAGAACAATCTGCAAAGTTAAAAGTCACATTATGTCCACAGTTAAGGCACAAAGTGTTGCACCAGTCCATTTTAGGATTGTTAGATGTCATCAGATTAAGACGAGGCATCACGTATGATTGTTGCTGTCGAAGGTATTTGCAGACTTATAGAAAGTGTGAAAGATGGATGGTTTTCATTTAAGAATGGGGAGATTCTTAAGAGATGGAAGAGAAGTTCGAATAGATTTTCAGAAATATTGTGCAGAGATGGGATTAGGAAGGCAGGAGAAGGATTAAAAACAGGAAGAACAAGGAACACAAAATGCATGGTTGCCTAGAACCATTTTGTACGGAGCCTAAGGGCTTTCCTGTATTCACTGAGCAAGGTGATAGATATTCACTGTTGTTTGAATAATGATTAACTTTCAGATACTGTCTCTTATTTAAAGGAATTAATTCTCACTTATCTGGAAACATTTTGCCATCCAAACTGGCTTACCCCAAAAGTTTCAGATAGCTGAGGTTTCTATATATTTGGGTGTCCAGGGATGTATGAATTACGGAAGCATCTGTAAAGCATTTACAGATGCTTTACCAGTCCCACACAGGACTGGTCTGCCTCTTAATATAAAGCCTTGGGTCAAGAATGGACTCCTGTAGGAAGGGAGTACTTTGTAAGATGACACCTAATGTTACCTGAGGGAGGTAAACTAGGTAGGCTTACACAACTATCATTAATGGAAATTGCACTGTGACCCATTGAGAAACATGAGCTTGATTCCTGCTTGGGGAGGGAGGGTCTCGTGTACATGAACAGAATGGAGATGTGAGAAGAACGAATAATCTCTATTAGCTGTTGCTTTGTTATACTAAATTATGCTGTTACTATTAAAAGAGGAAGTTCTCAGCCAGAGACTTTCAAGGAGGAAGCCCATTGGGAGTAATATTTACCTTCTGAATTTAGCCTGGTGTAAGGATATTATTAACTGTGGAAGAGGGCCAAGAGAAAGTCAGCCATCCCTGAGGGGAAAGACTAGTTCCCACCTGCCGAGGGAAATCCTGTGTGAATGGCCACAGTAATTTTCCTTTAAAAGGAAGAATCTCTTATAGATATTGACAGCAGGATGTACCTTCAAAACTGTGAGACAATGAAAGAAAAATTCAAATACAAACAGCTTTGTGCCTTTGTGTGTGGAGTTGTGGATCTAGGTGTGGGGACATTGCTGAGGTAATAATCTCTGTGGATAAACCAGGAAAAGACAGAAGCCAAGTGTCTGTGAACTGATACATTATGGAGTCCATGGAGGTAACTTTAGTTGTAATTTTTTTTATCAGAGGCAGAACTTATATCAAAATCAGCATCAGTGTTTAATACAGTAAGGCCTCCCTTTCAATATGATTTAAGGGCAAGGAATAAAAAGTGTTCTAGGACCCATGGAGTTCTAGAAGAGGCAAAGCTAATCTCTTTCTCTCTCTCTTTGCTGCACTTTGCGGCATGTGGAGATTTGGTTCCCCGACCAGGGATTGAACCCACACCCCCTGTAGTGAAAGTGTGCAGTCTTAACCACTGGACCACCAGGGAAGTTCCCGAGACAAAACTAATCTAAATATAAAAAAATCCAAGCACTGGTTGCCTTTAGGAGGGTGTGGGCATGGATCAATGGGGAAGGGGCATGAAGGATTTTCTCTGGTGATAGGATCTTCTGTATGTTATTAAGTGTTTGGGTTACAGAGGTATACGCATGACTCAAAGTTCCTTGAATGGTATGCTTATGATTTGTGTATGTAAATTTTGTGTGTGTACTTAGATTTCAGCCCCAAAGAAAAACAAACCAAAAAACGCGTAATCCAGTAGTACAAATTTCTCCCCTTGGCTTCCTAGTCAACTTGCATTAGAAGGAACTAAGTTTCCTCCTTGGGCTTCCCAGGTGTTGCTAGTGGTAAAGAACCTGCCTGCCAGTGCAAGAGATGCAACAGAAACTGGTTCTGTCCCTGGGTGGGGAATATATCCTGGAGGAGGGCATGGCAACCCACTCCAGTATGCTTGCCTGAAGAATCCCAAGGGCGGTGGAGCCTGGCAGGCTGTAGTCCGTGGGGTTAGTCAGACACTGCTGATGTGACTTAGCACACAGCATGAGTTTCCTCCTAATTTGGAAAATACCATGAAATTTGCCACTAGGATTACACAGTAAGAATCTTAATTATAAAAAAGACTTTTTTTCTGTTAAGTAACTTAAACAGTTTTCTGTTAAGTAACTAAAAAGCAGAGACATTACTTTGCCAACAAAGATCCATCTAGTCAAAGCTATGGTTTTTCCAGTAGTCATGTATGGATGTGAGAGTTGGACTATAAAGAAAGCTGAGCACCAAAGAATTGATGCTTTTGAACTGTGGTGTTGGAGAAGACTCTTGAGAGTCCTTTGAACTAAAGGAGATCCAACCAGTCCATCCTAAAGGAAATCAATCCTGAATATTCATTGGAAGGACTGATGCTGAAACTGAAGCTCTAATACTTTGGCCATCTGATGCAAAGAATGGACTCATTGGAAAAGACCCTGATGTTGGGAAGGATTGAAGGCAGAAGGAGTAGGGGACGACAGAGGATGAGATGGTTGGATGGCATCACCAACTCGATGGACATAAGTTTGAGCAAGCTCTGGGAGTTGGTGATAGACAGGGAAGCCTGGCGTGCTGCAGTCCGTGGGGTCGCAAAAAGTTGGACACGACTGAGCAACTGAACTGAACTGAACTAAAACATTGTAGAAATTCAGTCATTCTTAAAGATGCCTGAAAAATTTTGCAGCTAGTGAAGTCAAAACTGCCTCTGTAATTTAACAAGTATGAAAGAGGCGTGGCCTTTCTTTTTAGCCAAAATGATACAGCCAACTTTAACAGCTCAAGCTTCAGAGTAAGTAAAAATGCAACTCTGCTCCCAAATTATGGGTCTTATTAGCCCAGTTCAGCTGATAAGTATGTTCCCAACCTGACTCAATAGAAACTTGGAAAAGTGACCAAAAGTTTGCAAAACATCTCTCTAAAAATACATGAGATTACTCATCAGTGATGTTATCACTTCACATATCACACAACTTGTGCAAGAATCTGTGAACATATTAAAGATGTGAACTAAGAGATCTCTTTAAGCCTACATGGTTTAGGGCTACTGTTCACCACATAGACCCTGGGCTCATTCCAGGCACACAGTAGACTGAACTTTCTTGCCTTCTTGGATAAGTAGAACCATATGATTTGTTTTGGAAATGAAACTGAGTTCTTGCGATGAGTGTCATTTCTAAGAAGATTTAAGCTAGGGTGACCAGAAGTAGCAAATCTAAAGGCACCCAGCTAAATTTGACTTTCAAATAAACAGCTAATAGTTTTTGTTTTTTTACTGTAAACTTAACTTGTGCAATATTTGGGGCATACTGACTAAGGAATGATCTGTTTATCTGAATTCAACTTTCACTGAGCATCTTGCCTTTTACCTTGTAACCCTGCTTTAATAAGTGTCAGTGTACAATTCATCAGGTGCTCTCCATGTCTCTAGCATAGTGATCCTCAGTCCTCAGATAGTGGATGCTCCATCACCCTTGGACCCCACGGCTGACCTGCAGTGGACATATAGCATAGTCAAGAAATAACCTTGGTTGATGAAGCCACTGAAATTTGGGGGCTGGTTGTTAACCACAGCATACCTAACCTATCCTGACTGCTGTAGACATTGCCTGACCCTGAACCCAGCCATAACTCATTCTGTGATGTTGCTGCTCCAATGGTGTGGCCTGTGTATTTTTACTTAATAATTAAATTACTGTTCTGCCTTTTCCCCTTAAGGTGGACTTAGGTGAAGGCAAGATTTGCTTCTGTTGTGAAGAATTTCAACCAGCCAAATGCACAGACAAAGAAAATGCCTTGAAACTCTTCCCGGTTCAGCCTTGTAGTGCTGTTCACCTTCTCCTCAAGGTATCTGGAATAGATTCCACCCCCAGCCAGTAAACGCACCACAGAGACCCTGAGGAAGGCAGAGCTCCCTGAAATATTCCTCTTCTGTTACCTCCTTCAAATAATGCTGCTAAAAGCAGATATGAGTGACTCCTTATCAGTGACCCAGAGACAGAATTGAGAGCAAAAGGGACCACAGGTTATGTATTGTTGCCTCTTAAGTTATGAATAGATGGCTTATTTGTGTTCAGAATTATAAGCTAGTAAAAAAGGTAAAGGAGCCTAAATACATACACATGTATATGTGTATGTGTATAAATCTACACATACATATACACATGTGCACACATAACATCCCACTATGTGGCTACACATATATGATGTAGTTTAAGCAGAACCTCTGAAGTGCATGCCCATTTGTCACTGTTCTGATGCTCCTTTGTTGACCTAAATGAACCTTGTGGGCTACTGAGTGTTGCTGTTGTAAGACGCTTAGGCTAAGGAGATATATTGGCCAAAAAATGAAGGCGAAATTCAAGACACTACCTCTTGTTTAATAGGCTGCAACTATACTAAGCCAAAGATATGAAAAACAAATGAAACCAGCTGAAAAGAAATACTGGAGACATGGATAAAAAATCTTGTCCTGACTTAAGGTCTGTTAGTCCAGTGAGTGACACGATCAGTTGGTAAACCCGGAGATGCTAGCTTTTGGATGGTCCCTCACTGATGGCTTCTTTTAGATCTGAGTTTTGGATTTATTTTTCGTGGGGAAGAGGAATCTCTAAGCAAAGAGAAGCTGCCAGCTCTCGGAGTTTATGGAGGCTGTAAAAATGGCCATCTTTCTTTGGCTTCTGGATTTTTGGTAGCTGAGTCACCCCCAAACTTTCTGAGCCAGGACTTTGCTTGGGAAAAGCCCCACTAAGAAGCCAGGCCTGTAGCAACAGAAACTTTTGGATTTGGCTTTGCTGCTATTTTGAGGCCTGTGTTTAGAGGAGAGAAGCCCTGTTTACACTCGGGCTGGGCTGCTCCCTGTGTTGTCCTAGTTGGTTCCCCGGGGCAGCTCTGCCAGGGGTGCCTGAAATAGAATCTGTGGCCACCAGTGAAGGAGCATGTTGTCCTGGTGGGAGGCTGCGGGAGCAAGGAGGCTGGGACTCACTATCACTGGGGACACCAACTTTAGAAGGGAAATCCAGTACCTTCCTGGAAGAGACGTTTCCAGACAGGATTCTGATGCAAAAAGAAATACGGTAATATCATGTCCACCCGGGATAAGAAGCTTCTAAGATAAGCGTTTAAAATTAAGAAGTACAGACTGTTGTGTGACAGTCTTATTAATAGCCAGCGTTTGTTTGGCACCTAGCATGAGCCAAACACCGTGTAAGTCCTTTACATGCATTTTCACGTTACTATTGGCCTCCTAGGACAGTGTTGTTATTATATTTTGAAAGTTTTTATGTTGCATTCTGGTCATCAGTTTTGAGATACTCAGATGCATCATTGTTTCCTGGTTCCAGAAAGTCCTTTTCACCCTGTGTGCCTTGAATGCCCTGACCACCACCGTCTGCTTGGTGGCAGCCGCCCTTCGCTACCTCCAGATCTTTGCAGCCAGAAGATCCTGCGTCGTAAGTCCATACAAGGTGGCAGCCTTTCGGTGACGCTGCTGAGCCCACCCTGGGATCTTTGTGTCATCTGTGCCTTTCGCCCTGAGCCTTTGTAGCGAAGGCTGTTGACTAACAGATGCTGTTTAATTAGGATGAATCCCAGATTTCTGCAGAAGAAGTGGAGGAACACAGACGCATCCCAGACCCTGATGACTTCGTGCCACCAGCGCCTCCCCCTTCCTATTTTGCCACGTTTTACTCGTGCACACCCCGGATGAGCCGCAGGTATCCTCTCTTAGTACTCCTACCCATCCTCTCAGTTTGGAGGCTCAAGCGTCAGAACTCAATGGCATGAGCTCTGACTTCTCTCCAGAATCTAGACATTGTGTTGTTTTCCAGGATCTTCTGTTTTTTTTTTTTTTTTTTCTTCTCTCCTTTTTGGTCTGACAAATTGCATGAAACCAAAGTAAAGTCGAGCCTTGACCTAAGGATATCGTTTTTCAATTTCAATTAGCTTCCCGGGAAAACTGACACCCAGTGAGATAACTACTGTAATTTGACATGGTTGAGAACTGCTGTTACCCTGGAAACACTCTCGTTTGGGCCAAATCGATATTCATTCTAACACCATCAGCAGGTCTTGAAATCATGAAATTCTTCCCAGCCTTTAAAAAATGATGAATTATTAATCACATCTCCTTGGTCTAGGAAAAAAAAAGACACTGTGTTTATGTTCCTTTTCAAATTCTAGCTCAAAATTTTATTGTCTGTTTCTTAAATCTCTAAAAATCATCGTTTGTAGAACAAAATGCCACATGCACTCATTTGGTTGTTAGCCACTTGTATAATTGTACCTTTCTAAAAAAAAAATGACTTAATTTATTCATTCAACAAACATTTAATCCACCCTCTGCTGCTTACTAGTCACTGTACTGGGTTTTTGATATCCAAAATGAGTCATACTGACTTCCTCCCCCTAACAAGGAGCTCACAGTCTAGGTCATTAAAACTGAGTGTTGAAAGGATCGTAATAGTACTCAGAAGGAGGTTTTGAGCGCGGGAGCGGGGCTACCTAACCTGGCATGAAGGGTAGGCTGTGGAGAGATTGAAGGAAGAGTCAGCTCATTAGGGTTGGCCTCCTGTACGAAGTGATGCCCTTAGTCTGAATGTAAAGGACGCCTATATTAAAACTTCTAAAAGCAAAGCATAGAGTTCTATAAGAATGACTAGTCCATTGCTAGTGATAGGGCCAGGAGTATCTACTTTTAACCCTGAGGTACATATGAAGAGTTGTCAAACAAATTTGGTGTTAGGCTTGGGGTTTTTGGAAATCCATTTTCTAGTGCTCAGGACAGCCACATGTGATTTTCAAAGAGGTGACTAGTGGCAGCTCCCACTCGGATGCTGTTCACCTTCTTTTCCATGATTTACCTTCCTGACTTTTCCTCAGAATCAGATCTAAACCCTGCTGCAGGCCCTCCCCTGCTCACCATCCTCAGTGGAAGCAGAGATGACCGCAAAGCTGGCGGCCAGATGGCCCCAGGGGACAGCTCAGCCTCCCTGTTGTACAGGGCCTGGTGGACTGGGATTTTGAAACTTCAGGGGCCAGAATGACCTCTGTAGCCTTTTTGGAAACGAACCAAGAATTACGGAGGCCAGAGGGACATAGCAACAAAGCACATATTCTTTATATACTATGGGACACATTTGCTAAAACCTTAGCCCAGTGTCAGGCTTTCTGCAGAGGGCACGCTGAAGGACGGTGATGTGCCTGCTATTTCACAGGATGGGAGAGAAATGCCCTCTTCATGGAGAATCCCTTGGCTCTCTGAGGTTGTGGGTGAGTGCTTGGTTGACCTAAGTGGAGGCGACAGACGGATTTAATTTCCTGCAGTGGTAGAAAGGGAAAGTGACTCATGTGGGTTTAGAAGTTGTGCTGACCTGTGGGATCTCCCACTCCAGCCGTCCCTTCTCTTTCCTTTCTCTTCTCTGCGCCTCCATGGCATGCTTATCAGTGTGGGTCTTTGAGGATCTGGATGCATCTCTGGACTTGCCTGTCTGAGTCCTAAGCCACCCCCTGGCCAAATCTGAGTTGGAAGAAGACGGACAAGCTTTTCATCAAGGGCTTTACCAACCAGAACTTCCTGAGAGGAACGTGGGGGAGGGGGTAAGGCAGAACACCCTTGAGATCTAAAGTATATACCCGGAGCCCTAGCTCATAACTCAATGGGCGAACACCCTCATTTTCAGAAATTCCACTAATATCTTTGTGCAGCCCACTTTTTTTTTTAACCTTTTATGTATTTTTTTTTATAATTGAAGTTGACTTACAATATTATATTAGTTTTGGGTGTTGTTGTTTAGTCACTAAATCATGTCCAACTCTTTACCACCCTCTAGACTAGCCTGCCTTGGAGAAGGAAATGGCAACCCACTCCAGTATTCTTGCCTGGAAAATCCCATGGATGGAGAAGCCTGGTAGGCTACAGTCCATGGGGTCACAAAGAGTCGGACACGACTGAGCGACTTCACTTTCAGACTAGCCTGCCAGGCTCCTTTGTCAATGGGATTTATCAGGCAAGAATACCAGAGCGGGTTGCCATTTCCTCCTCGAGGGGATCTTCCCAACCCAGGGATCTAACCCGAGTGTTTTGTCTCCTGCATTGGCAGGCAGATTCTTTACCACTGAGCCACCAGGGAAGTCCATTTTCAGGTGTACAACATAGTGATTCAGTACTTTTTTTCTTTTTATTTTAATTGGAGGCTAACTACTTTACAATATTGTGGTGGTTTTGCCATACATTCACATGAATCAGCCATGGGTGTACATGTGTTCCCCATCCTGACCCTCCCTCCCACCTCCCTCCCCATCCCATCTCTCAGGGTCGTCCCTGAATTCAGTATTTTTATAGCTTATACTCCATTTAAAGTTATTACAAAACAATGGCTATATTTCCCTGGGCTACACAATATATCCTGTTGCTTATTAATTTTATACATAGTACTTTGTATCTCTTAATCCCATGCCCCTGTCTCCCCCTGCCCCTTGCCCACTTTTCTTTTTTAAATGGCTAAATGTATTCACTTTTAGATACATAGTCTTTCAGAGATATTTTTAAATTTGACCGACTTTGCTAGATTCTCAGTATAAATCAACTTCATAGGCACTAGCTGTATAAACCCAATTGATAATTTTCTTTCTTATAAGCAGGGCTTCCCCTAGTGGCTCAGACAGTAAAGTGTCTGCCTGCAATGCAGAAGACCCAGGTTCGATCCCTGGGTCTGGGAAGATCCCCTGGAGAAGGAAATGGCAACCCACTCCAGTACTCTTGCTTGGAAAATCCCATGGCCGGAGGAGTCTGGTGGACTACAGTCCATGGGTTCCCAAAGAGTCGGATACAACCGAGCAACTTCACTTTCTTATAAGCAGACAGGCAAGAATGTTTGCATTAATATTTCTACAAACAGTTATGCTAAGAATTTTCATGCAACAGAGGTTCCCCATTTCCTGTAAGGTTTTATGACCTCTCAGAAGAGGTTTGTTTATTTAACTTCTATAAATACAACCATTTTATGCATTGGTATCTCCTTGAGAAAGGACTTCTTAGGTTACTGTCATAAACAGAAGCCTGATTGCAGTTAAGACTTCTATCCAAAGATGGTTATCTACTTTGCGAATCACTTTGTCAGTACAGAAGGGGGCTGTGTATCCCCATCTCCTCAGAGAGTCCCCCAGTCTGAGAAATTGGCTTGAGCCAGGAGTCAAAAAAGAGTCTCGAACCTGTTTCATCAGTGTGGATCTAGCTGTGCTGTGGGCATGTTTCCCGCTAGAGAAAACTGAAAATGAGGGCATGGGAATCAGGTTGGCTTGGGCATTTCAGCCCATCCATTTCTTTTACAAATGAACTTCAAAACCCAAGCTCAAGTGGAGGTGGGCTGCACCAGGGCTGGACTCTGTGCTCAGCTGTTGTTGGGCTGAGTGCCCCTGCCTCACTCCCCACTCCCACACCCCTTCCATGGAAGGGCCACGCTTTCCCAGCACACAGAGGAGGATCATTCTTTGGCCTAGGTCATATTAGTTGCTTCATCAGCCTCGGATAAGTTCTCAGGTCCTATTTGTAGTATCAAAGCAGAACATATCTTACATGATCCTTTTGGGTTTCTTGTTCATCTTCAGATCTCATGGGCATGAACCAGCAAAGGTTTCCTGCAGACTTGGGGATGAATTTGCATCAGCCCGGATTTTGGAGTCTCTTAAAAAGGTCACCCCTGGGTGGGTCTCTTAACCATTCGGAGCTCAGTTTCTTCATTCACCTGCCTTGTCACATGGCTCCTGAGCTTGTTATGAGATAATGGGCTAAAAAAAACAATCTTTCTAAAAACTAAAGCTAAGACCATGTTCTACCATTGTTAGTTGCGTGGTTTAAAATGTTCTTGGCATGTGTCTTACTCTTAAGAAACATTTAGCCCCTAATCTTAGTTGTTGTTATTTAGTCACTTCAGTCGTGTCCGACTCTTTGCAACCCTGTGGACTGTAGCCCTCCAGTCTCCTCTGTCCATGGGAATTCTCCAGGCAAGAATACTGGAGTGGGGTTGCCATTCCCTTCTCCACGGGCTCTTCCCGATTCAGGGCTCAAACCTGTGTCTCTTTTGTCTCCTGCATTGGCATGTGGGTTCTTTACCACTAGCGCCACTTAGGAAGCCCCAGCCCCTAATCTTACCCCGCCTTATCAGGTGGCAGTTATCTAAAGCCACTCATTCTCAATAAAAGTTTGATCACCTTTCCCACATATAACAGGATTTTGATTTCAGCCACCATAATCCGTTTCCTTTAGCAGCAGTCTCAATCCTGGCTGGGCCTTGGAACTCCTGGGAACACTGACAGCCTCCAGATACACAGCCCTGTCATAGGCAACTAGGGCAGAATTTCCAGAGGTAAAGCCTGGGGCATACCAGTGTAGGAATGCTCCTAGGTGATTCTCTACAGCTGGGCTGAGCACCTTAGGGCTTAGGAACAAAAGGTGCAAGAGAGAGCAGACCCATTTCCTTCTGTGGATCTTTATTTACCCAAAAGTGTACAAATGAAAAGTTGCTAAATAGGAAGGGAACTTACCTTCTGCATCAACTCTAGCAGCATCTTCCATCTACATGAGGCTTTTCTGGTCATATAATAACCACCATAGAAGCCATTCATTTTGTGGTCCCCTCTCCCCCCCACCCCCCCAGTTTTCCTTCTTGAAGAGATTCTGTAGTAGGTCAGATCAAAAGTGGAGCCTGTTCCTCCCACTTCTTGGCCCTAAGCAAGCCCTCTCTTCTGTAGGATCACACAGGCAGCCACTGGACTGGAAATAGGAAAGAAACAGCATTAGAGCTAACAGACAAATGTGGGGGATGAACTTCCCAGGCGAGGACTCCGCAGTGAAGAAATACATGGACACTTGGCTGAGGGGGGACTGACTGGGGTTTGTAAGTGCTAGAAAGATGCTCATGGGGTTATGCTAATTAAGGATTGAAGACTGGACCTCTGGAGAGGACAAGGAGTGCATAGGTCTCAGTGAGTAAGGCACGTTGCCTTGTTCATTGGTCAGGAAAGTCTCCAGTCAGGTCCAGGAAGAGTCTGGATTCCTGGAGTCACTTGGTGCTTACAGTTCTTAAATGGCTTCGGCTGGAACAGAGAGTTGGTGTGAAACCCATGGGCAAGTCCTGCTCTAAGGAAGAAGAATATCCCTTTCTTGACACCTTTACCAGGACCCCTCCCAGCCAGGCCAGGGAGTGGCCATTCCTGCAGGTTCTGCTCCTGAGATATGCCCCGTGTTAGGCGCTGAGCCCACATGCATCCCAGCCTGGGGTGTTAGCGTGTGACCTCCTCCTTCCCTCTCAGGTAAAACAGGGCTGAGGGTCTTGCTTCTGACCCAAAGATGCAGGAAAAAAGGGGAGCACTTTTCTCATTTTTTCATTCAGGCTACAGAAGTGCCATCCTTCTAAATCCCAGACTTCCTGAAGTTTTATTGTTAGGAAGACAGAATGTCAGATCTTTTTCAACTTTTTTTTCTTCCACCAATTGCATTTTTGTAAATAGGCACAAATAAAACAATCATAAATGCAGAGAGCACCTTTATAAAAACAAAACAGACAGTCCCCTGCAGGCATCTGGCTCTAGAATTTGTCTTTTCATCAATCTCCTTTAGTTTATGTCCATTATTGCATAAGAGCATACGTTAAGCTTTTGCTATTGTCTCTGTTTTTCATTCTCCAACACTTCATGGTCTGGGTACAGGTTTTTTTGGTCTTCTCTTTTTTTTGTATTTTTTAAATTGTGATATAATTGGCATATAACATGATGTTAGTTTTAGGTGGACCTGTAAATAGTGATTCAATACTTTATATATTGTGAAATGATCACCACAGTAGGTTTAGTTAATATTCATCACTGCATATAATTACAAGTTTTTGTTTCTTGTAATGAAAACTTTTAAGACCTCCTCTTTTAGCAACTATCAAGTATACCATGCAGTATTATTGACTCTGATCACCATGCCTTGAATTACATCCCCAGGACTTATTTACATGTTTTATAACTGAACATTTTATCACAGTGTATAAACTTTCATATATTTTTAACTGTTATTTTCAAATTTAGGTTTTTTGTTATCTATACAGCTTGTATGTGTGTGTGTGTTTGTGTAATTTTCTATGAATGCTGGCAGAAAATCTTGTGCATTTTTGGTTTTTATTTTTTGATCTCAAAAGACAAAAGGCATAGTACCTGGCATATAGCAAGCACTCCATCAGTGTTTGTTGAATGCCCACCTTTAGGAAGAGACTGATTCCTTCAGTGGCATGCTACCTTTTCTCTGAACTATGACATTGTTTGCTTTTGTGTGTGTGTGTTCATTGTTTCAAATATTTATTTAATAAATAGTGAGTTTCTACCTTTAATTGGATGTTAGGAAAACACAGGCAAGAAACTTTTGTCATGTACTGATGTTAAAAAAAAAAAACAGTAAATAACTGAGTTTCCCTGAACCCTTAGTTGTTTTTTTTTTTTTAATTGAGATGAAATTCATATAACATGAAATTAACCATTTGGAAGAATACAATTCAATGGCATTTAGTACATTCACAATATGGTGCAACCATCAGCTCCATCTAGTTCTAAAGCATTTTCATCACCTACATGGAGACCCTGTATCTGTTAAGCTGTCACCCCCATTCTCTCCTTTCCCCAATCCCCTGGGCAACCACGAATTTGCTTTCTCTTTCTTACGGATTACTGTTCGCTTTTTACTAGTGGATTTAAAAGGAATGATGGTATTACATTTTCTATGTTGTCCCTTGCCTAAGAATTCCAGGCACTCCATCAGAGAGCAGCTTATTTGATTATCCTCCTGCTCCTGGACCAGGAGGCTGTAGCATGGAGGGGCGAGGGGCTTTTCCCATTGTCAGTGGATAATGCCGCAGAGTCAAAGGCCAGTATCTAGAGCCACCACCATCAACTAGCCAAAGCAAGCTTTCTGATGCCAAGATGCTCTTCCTAGGATGATTGGTCCTGATGTTATTCCACTGCCACATATCTATGGAGCACGAATCAAAGGAGTGGAAGTGTTCTGTCCTCTGGACCCCCCACCTCCCTATGAAGCTGTGGTGAGCCAGACAGACCAGCAACAGGTACTGTCTGTGGAGTTTCTCTTTGGTACATTGATGGCAAGTAGGAAAAACAGCCGCAGAGAACAGGGTGGGAGAGGGACCATGTCTTGTAGATGTTTGAAAGAAGTTCACTTTACTCCAGATGGTGGTTGAGTTAAATATCAACAAATAACCCTTTTCCCCTGTGATGCAGGGATCTTCATTCCAAATGCCAGAAGGATCAGAAGCTGCCACCAGTCCACTGGAACCGATCTGCATCCCAGGGACTCAAGGTAATAAATACATTATTGCTGCCCAGACTCAAGATTCAGTAGATATTAATAATGATCCATATGATATTTTGTTGGAGGTCAGATATTCTTGGAGCAGATGGTTCAAGCTACATTCCTTCTTCCAAATGTAAAAGCATTATCAACTCCTTAGAGCTTACAAGTAGGAGATGATATAAGAACAGAAATAAAGATATTGTTAGAATCTTTCATGAATAACCAGGCTATTTTCAGAAATGGATTTCAGAGTTTAATTTGGCATTCTTTGTTTTTAAATTTTTATCTATTTTTTTAATACTCAAAACATTTTGTATTGGGGTACAGCCAATTAACAATGTTTTAATAGTTTCAGGAGAACAGCAAAGGGACTCAGCCATACTTATACATGTATCCTTTCTCCCCTAAACCCCCCTCCCACATAGGCTGGCACATAACCCTGAGCAGAGTTCCATGTGCTATACAATAGGTCTTTGTTGGTTATCCATTTTAAATACAGCAGTATGTACATGACCTTCCCAAAATCCCTCGCTATCCCTTCCCTGCTGACGACGTAAGTTTGTTTTCTAAGTCAATGAGTCTATTTCTGTTTTGTGAGGAAGTTCATTTGTATCATTTCTTTTTTGATTCCACATTGAAGGGATGGCATATGCTATTTCTCCTTCTCTGTCTGACTTACTTCACTCAGTATGACACTCTCTAGGTCCCTAATTTGGCATTCTTTTATTTTCTGATCTAAGATTTCTTTTTTTCTCCCATTAAGATAAGATGAGCTCTTTTAAAGTGACAAAGAGAGTTTCATCTATTACAGAGTGATTCGCTCATTTGTAACCCAGGACCCAGGTCATGCTGCCTTCACATGTACTGAGTGCCAATTCCCAATCCTCCATTAAATACTAGAGTCAGTTTACATTTATCCTTGTAGCTTAAGGGCACATTGTTACCGCTTTCTCTCTTTGGAGAGGTTTTAAATGACCCAGAGAATTGTCCATAGGACAAAATTGCAGATGGTGATAAATAATGGATTAACTCTTAGCTATTTTAGACAGAGCTGATTTTTCAGCAGCAACATTCGGAATAGGTTTCTGCTCTGTTCACCTTCCATCCTAAGTAGAATTATGAAGCAGGGTTCTGTTTCCTACGTATGTTTTTAATCCTTCCATTTCTTAAAAAAAGTTTCCCAGAATACTACTCAGGCTCACAAATGATGGGATTTTATTTTCCTGAACAGCAGTCATCCAGTTCCAGAGTGGTTTGACTGATTCGCTTATTGGCCATTAGCTCTTTAACTTGGCTTCCCAGGAGTTCCACAACCCAGCCCGCAGACACTTCCTCTGCCTGCGTTTGGCCTGCAGCCCCAGGGCAGCATCTCACCTGTACACCTCATCTGTACCGGTATTCCCTTCCACCTCATCAGGCTCAGCCTGAACAATCAGAAAGGGGAGATGGCTGGGAGCTTTCCAGTGCCACACCAGCATGCTTCCCTGGAGAAGATCCTGAGCACCTTCAGGCATTTGGGCATGGCTTGTTTTTCTGCTCTTGGTTCTAAAGTTTTTTGTTTGCTAGTTTTAGGTGTGGAAGGATAGTTTCTGGGAGGCAGCATTTCCCACAGTGCTGCCAAATAAAAATGTTCTGGGCCCACAGCCTAAGTAAATATCATTAACTGGACTACCTTTGTCCCTGCAGGTTGGGGCTCACAGGTGTTTCCTGCCCAACATTTTGAAGGCTCTAGCTGGTGAAATAATTTCTGTTTCTTCTCTTAAAAAAAAAAAATCAGGTGGGGATATTCCTACCACACCTGGAGAAGAAAGTGCATCCATACCAACTCCCAACGCAAACCAGCTATACCCAGAGAGGAGCTGGAGAGCCCTCCGACCCCTGAGGACAAGATCCAAGAGTGATCCTGTGCTGTGTCATTCCGCCGAGAGAGGTGATGCCATCCCCCAGGCTCTCCGCAGGGCACTGTGGTCTCTTGCCTACAGGTGTATGAGTGGCTCTGGCTATCCAAGCCTCTGTGGTTCAAGACAAAGCTTGGAGGGGGGCTAAGAGGTCCTGGGAAAATAACAAATTCTGCATGCATCTTAGGGATAGATATCCACTACATCTTTTCAGGCTGGTAGGGATTTTTCTTGTCAAGTGAGTATCAAGCATTTGGTTGCATGTGATACTGTGTTGGTACCACATGAAGAAGGCAGTGAAACCTAGATCTGATTCCTTAGTCTCATGGGAACCAATATTCTTTCTCCAGGAAAAAGTCAAAGGGGTGTTATTTTCCCCCCTTCTTCTATAATTTGACACTAATTATCTTTTTATTGTGTATGCGTAGACTGAGTTATTTAAATCTGACCTTGCTCTAAGAACTTTGGGTAGAGTCACACGCCATCTCTCTCCCTTTCTGTTTTCAGTTTGTGTATAGATGGTATTTGAACAATTTTAAATTTTAATAATCAGAAATTTTTAAAAACTTGAAATAATCTTGAATCCTCTTTTCTGAATATATGACTACCTGAACATCTCCAAATACTTCTTCATTGTAGAAAATTATTTAAAAAAATAAGGAAAGAGAGGAAGAAAATGAAAATCTTCTGTAATCCCAGTAACACAGGCTTCTCTCGGTGACCTGTTCTCAGCAGTGACCTGCGCTGTCTTCAAGCTCTGTGCAAATACAGCTTTGCAAACCCTCTGGCCCTGCTCTGCCCTGGGCCCCACATCATCCCTAGTTGGGTTCCGTCCCTCTGACAGCCTGTGTTGTTTGCCACAGCTCTGAACTGCCCATGTGGAAGCCAGAGAGAACACTCCTCTTGTCTCTCCAGTGGCTTCTGAGCCCCCCAGCAGGCCCCGGCAGCTCCCCAGACCTGTCTTCACCTTGGGATCCTCTGCCCACCTGGCAAGCTGAGGACTCAAGATGGCCACCTGCAGTTTCCACAGGAACTCGGCTGTCTGTGCAGCTTGGTCTGCACATCTTCCTAGAACCTGCTCCCCTTCTGCAGCACTGCAGGGGTGAGGACTACACGTGTTTGCCTGTTGGAGCCTCTACGGTGGAAGGGACCAGGTCGCCTTCGAGTGGCAGTGCAGTGCCTGACTGTCTTCCTCACACATGAGTGTCCGTAGCGAGTGGAACCAGAAGGCTCATGTCCCCTGCGTTGTGTACGTGGCAGCCAAGGAAGATGGCTGCCAACCCCTGTTTAGAGCTCCTCCTACCTTTCTCCAGAGGAAAAGGAAAGCTCCCTTGCCTCTACCTGTTCTCCAAGTCCCTGCCTCCTTTCTTCCTTGAATATCTAAGTTGCTACATATCAGACCTTCATAGACTGAAAATCTCCAGTGTTGTGTACACTGAAGGCTGCTGACTGGCTTATGAACACGTGGAGACCAGGCCTGACTTCCCTGCACCATCCGCCAGTGCAGTAATGTCCTGCCAGTCCTTACACCCTTGCTGAAGCAGGTAGTTGTGGAAATTAGAGCCTGTGGTGGATTTCCCAGGCCTGCTGTGGACTTCCAGAATGACATGTGCTGATCTAGATTTCTGCACTAGATTTGTCTTTCTGTAACAGTCAGCCATCGTGCCACTGCCAGCCATGCTGTGACGTCGATACTGTAAGTCAGGACAGTGCTCCCCAGGATGTTTAGGACAAAGGTACAGTCAGTGTGAGCAGAGCGTTCCATTCATCCCACAAGTCTCATCTCTCCTCGGTCCCTCTCTTTCAGTGGCTTCTTCATCCTACCCTCTGGAACGTTCTTCCTTCGGTCAACCATGTGTTTTCTGCCTGTCCAAACCATCCCCATATATTGGTCATCACCCCATGAAACCATTGTTCCATTATGATATGCATTCTGGATGCTCTCTATCAGCTATGTTTACCCTGATGGTTATTTTTTTATGTGGCACAATAAAATATTTGGGGGACATGTCCTATTGAAGTTGCACTTCAGGGAACAAACTCGTGTCACAGTCGTTGGGTTTTTCTTTCTTTCCTCTTCCTTCTGCAAGAGGAAGAGCAAGACGTGCATGACTGTTGCACCTGTCACATGCTCTCCACGTGGAGTCTCATGGTCTGTGCTGTTTCAGGTACAGATGTGTTCACAGGACTTGGCCAACAGGTACATGTTATTTGTCTCTGTCCACAGCCGTCCCTGTGCTCAGCTGTGAGGCCGCGACTCAGACTGAAGGAAGACTGGACTTGGCTGCAGTGACCTTGAGGAGAAGGTTGAGATCCCGAGCTTCAAGATGCAGACCGAGGTCTTTGATAGATTACAAGTCTTATATGGACACCAAGCTGCTGGTGGCGAGGTTCCTGGAGCAGTCCTCCTGCACCATGACCCCGGACATCCATGAACTTGTAGAAAACATCAAATCTGTTCTGAAGTCTGATGAGGAGCATATGGAGGAAGCTATTACGAGTGCCAGTTTTCTAGAACAGGTAGCTTTATTATTGGTATCAGGCATAAGTCAGACAACTCGTTTCCATAGCAGCTGAAGCAGCTTCTCTGGTTTCCTGCCCAAGGCACAGGAAATCCATGGTCACTGTTTCAAGGGGAATGGGCTGTATTAAGGGGTTAGGAGGTCTGGGGAGGGAGAAGAAGAAGCGGATCTGCTTTCTTTTTAGGAGTGGTGACTTTTCCACAGCCTTCTTGGCCCAAGAGAAGAGAAAACGATTTTCCTGGAAAATGGAAGCATGCCTGGAAAAAAAAAAGGAAGGGAGCAGCCTGGGATGAAAGCTAGGGCTCTGTGGAGTGCAGAGTATGATCAACATTCCATTTCCTAAGTTGAAAGTTTCCCTTGATCTGGCATGTTTTTGACAATGATGGACATACGTGAATTTTAATGCTGAAAAGATTCTGGGGGCTGGTCACATTCCCATGAAATGTTTGGCAAGATTACCTAAACTGATAGACTTAAAGGAATAAAAACCACAGGGATTTTGCAGGGATCAATAACCACATAGCAGTCCCCAGACAAGTTTCAGGTGAAAAGATAAAACTGGACCTGTAAATATCCCACTTGGGTGTCAGCTTTCTCCTCTGGAAGTGAAGGGTTGGAGTGGGTGGTCTATACACCCGCATTTCTGAGTGAATGGGATTTGCCCCTGATGAGAAGTCAGAATGGTCACAGCTTCCCTCACTCATCTCTTTCAAAAGCAGTGTTTGCCTTTGGACATTTGCTCTGTTCCTCTGTGTCTGGGGTGGCCGTTGGAGACCTCAGTGAATAGTGGCCCACAGGCGTTACTTGGCTGTGCCTGAGGGTGTTATATGCCCATTAAATACTTCTATTTTTTATATAATTTACTTATTTCTTTTTGGCTGTGTTGGGTCTTCATTGCTGTGCATGGACTTTCTCCAGTTGCATCAAACAAGGCTATTGTTTAGTTGTCGTGCTCGGGCATCTCATTGCGGTATCTTCTCTTGTTGGGGAGTATGAGTTCTCCGTCTCACGGGCTCTAGTAGTTTCGGCACGTGGGCTTCTGTAGTTGTGGTTCCTGGGCTCTAGAGTACAGGCTCAAGAGTGGTGGTGCACTGGCTTAGTTGCTCCATGGCATGTGGGGTCCAAACCATGTGGGGTCCTGGATCTGAGACTGAACCCCTTTCTCCTGCATTGGCAGGCGGAGTCTTTACCACTGAGCCACCAGGGAAGCCCCCCAATACTTCTTGAGTTGGCCTGATTCTCAGGGTCATTGCCAGCTGCTCTTTCCCTGGGTATGTTTTTCAGGCAGATTGAACAAATCCCCATCTCACTTTCTTCTCTGTTCCTTTTCCCACCTGCTGGCCTCTTCTTACAGAAGCCAAATTCTGTGCCATCCGTCAGTGAACGTGGGGAGTAGGAGAGCAGTTGTATGAAGAGGTACATGAACCATGGACTCTCTTATTGTTTGCTTTCTAAAAAAATGGTCAACCAGTGGTCCGAGGTCAGCCCCAACTGGTTGCCTGTGTAGAAGAGAGATTTCTATCTGCATGTCCTTGGTCTACTCCAGATGTCACTCCCTGCCCCCTTCCTTCTGTTCAGCCCCAGTTGCCTGATAAACAGAAGCAAGTGTTTGGAGCTGCCCAGTTCTGATGTAGTGAGAGCTAGAACATCTGCGGAGCTGTTGGTCTGGACCTTCAGCAAAGTCTTGCTTAATGGAAGATGGCTTTGAGGAGAAAGAACAGACACTGACAGCTTTTTTGATAGATTTTACTGATAGCTCAGCAGGTGCTATCATTATAAATGTTTACTAGGTCTTTCTGCACAGACTGGGTCAAAGTTCAGGTACAAGGTTATTATAATAGACTTTGTGCCACCTGCCGGGGCTTCCAGAGCTGAACCCCAGTAGTCAGGTGTCATAAGGCCACATCACTCCTCGGAGAGAAGGATGCAGGGACAAGGGGAAGGGAGCTTTCATTTCTGACTCTGCTCAGCTTTGCACATTTTCTCCTTCTCTAGTATTACTGAAATGTGTTTTTCTTTTTAAAGATTTTTTTTTGATGTGGACCATTTTTAAAGTCTTTATTGAATTTGTTACAGTATTGCTTCTGTTGTTTATGTTCTGCTTTTTTTGGCAAGGAGGTATGTGAGATCTTAGCTCCCTGACCAGAGATGAACCTGCACCCCCCGCATTGGAAGGTGAAATCTTAATCACTGGACCACCAGAAAGTCCCTGGAATGTGTTTTTATATATCCATTTACATTTTTACCAATATCAAAACCACTTGTCCTAACTTACCATATAATAATAGTAGACAACTATGTAATAATAGTAGACATCTATGAATGTTAGAATTTTCTTCTTAGTCAGGAAATAGCTTTAAAGACAAATATAATAATAGAGTATTGGAAAAATTTAATGTCCCATATTTTGGGGGAATTAAACTTTTAATGACCTTAGAATCAATCTCTGAATGGTGCAAACTAAACGACATGTCATCCCAGTGATTGTTCTGTGATGTTAGATGGTAATAAAGAACTTGAGTTTTCTCCAAGGTGCTTACAGCAATATGTCATACAGACACGACTGTGTAATTTAAAAAATTTGACGGTTCTCCTGTTTTTAGTCTCAACTGGATCAGAGATTGCCCATTTTTGCCTGTATATGATATATTTAGAAGTTATGTGTGTGCTACCTTGCAAAATAGATCTAGCAGTAGAAGTACTCTTAAGAGTTATCAATAAATGGTTCTAATTTTTATGAGATTTATCATATTTTTTATTAAAGTGTTATCAGGTCAATTAGAAACACATTGGTTTAGGTTGACATAAACTTAACCAGACTAGTGGTTATAAAATTTGCAGGAATAGCGGTATCACCTTGTGATACACTTTTAATGATACAGATGCCCATATCCATTCCAGACTCTCCTGCTATGGGGGAAGCAGGGATTCTATGTTTCTGACAAGCTCCCCTCCTCCAGTGATTTGCAGACCCAGTGAGACTCACAGGGAAATTGGAACAAAAGGTGATAAGAAGAATGTTAAACATAAAGCAGGAAGTTGCAGTAGATAAGTCGATAAGTGTGGCAGGCCTACTGTTGAAATAATAGAAAATTGGGGGAATTTCTTAGGAACTTCAGAAAAGAAGCAGTATGATAAAAGACTCTTTGGAATTTCAAGTGGGTTCCACTTTGGGAAAACACCCTTTTTTCTGCCCCAAGGCAACTAAAATCATGTCCAACTCTTTGGGACCCCATGGACTGTAGCCCACCAGGCTTCTCTTTCTATGGGACTTCCAGGCAAGAATACTGGAGTGGGTTGCCATTTTCTTCTCCAGGGGATCTTCCCAACCCAGAGATCAAACCTGCATCTCCTGCTTGGCAGGCAGATTCTTTACCACTGAGCCCCCTGGGAAACCCCAAACTGAACATTACCTGGATGGATATTGGAGGCAGGTCTGCGGACCACATCAGGTAAAGTTTAACCTCTTGTCACCTGTTTATTCTCCCAAAGATCATGGCCCCGATGCAGCCCAGCACTTCCAGGGCCCTGGTGCTGCCCTCGCGGAGACAGCCTGGCCTGCTGCACCTGCGGAGCTGCGGAGATCTGAGCACCTTCGTCCCCGCGGGGAGGCCCCCGGCCGAGCGGAGGCCCCGGCGAGCCGAGGCCGAGAGGCCACACAGCCTCATCGGTGTCATCCGAGAGACTGTCCTGTGAAGCGGCAGGGCCGGGGCTCCTGAGGAGCAGGAAGACAGGTGGGCCCTGGAAGTCAGGGAGCTTCTTGAGAGGACGGGTCCCCTATCTGTTTCCTGACGGGGAGTTAGGGTGCCCTTCTGGCTTTTCTTCAGAAAGAGGGGGCACTCCAGAGAACATTTATTCCTGCTCCTGGGCTCCCGGGTTCTCCTTTCTGCTGGCTGCAGGCCCTTGACGGGGGAATGACAAGTTCTTCTGGCCCATTTATCTTCTAGATACACCGAGGGGGAGATTGTGAATGAAGTGCAAACCTCCTCTGCCTGAGTCCGCCCTGTTGTGGGCAGAAGTGGCTCAGGATTTGGTGCCCGCTGTACCTCTCACAATTCTCTTCTGCACTGAGCTCTTGCCTTCTCTGGAAGGGCAGATGTGCTGGCTGCTATGTATTTGCTGCCAGCTGAGAGTGGAACTGGCCCAGAAGCAGGGTGATGGACCCCGATACTCTGTGATCGTCAAGCCTCATGTTAGATCACTTTCAAATCACATTCTCTTAGGGAAAACAGGAAACTGGTTTGGTGACAAATTTTGATGAAATAAATTTGGGAGAGAATTCTTGTTGATTCCATTTATTCATGCTTGCAAAACTAGAGATAGCTAAGGCAGAACTGAGAATAAAAATGTTTACCTTGGACCTCCAGGCTCACTGTGTGATGTTTGTTTATGTGTAGGTGGCCAGGCCTTACCTTTACGATGGGTTTGGGACTTGGAACATGGTGCTCAGGTGGGTAGGTCTGGGCAGGCCACCAAACCAGCTTAATCTCAAAAGTGCCCAAGCTCCTTGGATAACAATGCTTCCTTCATCCATTCAGCCAGTGCTTGGCTTCACGGAGCTGCCTTCTCCTGGGGCCATGAGCAAGAAATCAGTAAGGTGATTACAGGTTGAGGATTAGTGCCAAGAAGGAAGGGGGCCGTTAGAGAGGGCTTCTTTGAGGAATGACATTTGAGCTGAACTTGACTTTGAGAGTCAGGGAAGAGTGAACACTCTGCAGGGAACAGCCAGCAGAAGGACCCCCAGTGCTAGAGACCTTGGTGATAGCGAGGGGAGAGGCAGAAAGAGCTTCAGGCTGGACTTTTTGCTAACAGTGAGGTATGATGGAAGAGTTTGCAGCAGAAGAGTACAGATTTAATTATATTTCAGATGATCACCATTCCATGTGGAGACTAGTTTAGGGCAGGATGTGGAATGAGGTGGCAGTGAAGAGTAAAGACAGAGGCTGTACTCTGAGGCCTGCCTGACCTTTCTGGGCACCAGCTGGGCTGTAGGTACTGTGCTGGGGGCTTTACAGTCTCATGTCCCCCTCACAGCAGCCTAAGAGATGGAAGCTGTGACTGTCTCCATTTTACCGACAAGGAAAATGAGGTTCAGTGATTCAGAAGTTAAGTGCTAGAGATGCCACCAAAGCCAATCATCTCTAGGAAGCACTCTGTTCCTCGACGTCCCAAATAGGAGCAGTTTGCCATTTCATGTTTCTGTGAGAAAGTGGCTGCTGAGATTTCTCGCCTGGTTCGTAAAAGCACAGACTCCCCCTGTTCCAAGCCAACAAACCAGGCCAGAGTGGAAACTGGGATGAGGTCAGGGGGCTGAGTTAAAAAGAGAGAAGAGACTGGAGGCATGGAGCTGGGGTGGGAAGTGGGCTGTGGCAGCAGACCTGGAGAAGAGGGAGAGAAGGAGGGCTGTAACCAGGGTGGGATCTGGCCCACTTTCCTGGGGCGGGCTTTGTTCATAGAGGAGGTTTATAGGGGCTTCCCAGAATGACGGTTTCTCCCTTCTCATCTGCTTGCGCCCAGGCACTGAATTCCCCATGCAAGTGAGCAGTCTTTCCTGGAAGCCCTCGCTGTCAGCATCATAGCTGGGGCTTGGCCCACTTCTCTGGGGCACACCCCTGCCCTCTTTGAGGGTCTCCACTGTGGTACAAGCCCCCGCTCAAGCTTGCTGTCACCATAACCTGCCTGTATAGCCCTGTCTGGTGGTTCTTCACTGCTGTTTATTTTCCCCAACCTTGTGGCTCCAGATGAGGTCCACAAGCTCTCAGTCACCAATCTGCTGCCCCCACTCCATGGCTGGGGAGAGAAGGACTGCCTTGGCCCTCTCAGCCATGGCTGGCCTTTCTCACCTTTCTAGGCTTATGGGAGAGCATCCCTTTCCATCTTCTGAGGTCCTTCCCACTCACCTCCACCTGCCACTGTGGACCTTACCATGTACCTTGAAGGCTCCACGAAGGTAGGTGGGGGCTGCAGGTGTGGACAGTGTCTGCCCACAGCCTTCAGGGAACAGTCACAGAGGCGGTCCCAGCCATCCTGAAGAGCAGGAAAGAGAAAGAACCAGAAAAGGAAAGGGGAACACAAAGACTGAGGGCGTCACCTGATGCGCATCAGGAGAAAGTGAAGACCTGTCTCAGCTTTGGAGGATTGACCCGCAGCCTGGGCCCTGTCCCATGCATTTCCGGGATCTGAAGGTATTGGTAAACTCAGATAACTGACTTCTGCCTTGCTTCTCAGGCTTTAAGGAGTATGAAAGTAAAAAATGTATAATACAATATATATTTGCCCTGGGAGGGAACTTAGAGGCCATGCAATTCATCTCCCTGTGAGGCTGCTGGGTGTGATATACTTTCAAAAATTATTTATTTTTAATTTTAAAAATTTTAATAGTTGATGCAAAGAGCTGGACACAACTGAGCAACTAATACTTTAACTTTCTTTCTCATAGTTGATTTACAATGTTGATTTCAGGTGTATGGCAAAGTGATTCATATATATATATATATATATACATACGCACACACACACATATATATGGGCTTCTCAGGTGGCGTTAGTGATGAAGAACCCACCTGCCAATGCAGGAGATGTAAGAGATGCAGTATCGACCCCTGGGTCAGAAAGAACCCCTGGAGAAGGAAATGGCAACCCACTCCAGTATTCTTGCCTGGAGAATCCCATGGACAGAGGAGCCTGGCAGGCTGCTACAGTCCATAGGGTTGCCAAGAGTCGGAAAAACTGAAGTGACTTAGCACACATATATGTATATACATGTATATATATATTCTTTTTCAGATCCTTTTCTCTTATAGGTTATTATAAAGTAGTATAGTTCCCTGTAATATACTTTGAAGTACATTGGCATTAATAATGTGATATTCATGTGCGTGCATAATTGAATATACCAGGGAAGGCAGCCCTTTTGCGCTTAGAGTACCTTAAAAATCCAGTCCAGACGTGGTAACAAAACGTCTCAAAAGTAGTTATCAAAATTATACCAGAGATTGATTAATTGGCACGAGGGGTCTTTTTACTGGTGAAATAAATGATGTTCAGAATCTTGGCTGACCCAAAGCACGGGACAGTCAGTTCTGCACCAGCGGGGAATGAGAGCCTAGTCTCCACTCCATGAGACTGTCACATGGATCAAGTCACAGGATCAGGTCACAGATGGATCAGGTCACAGGCTGCTTCTTCAGAATGTTGTCTTTGCCTCAGCCTTTCATGCAAGTTGTGTGTCCGAGTGTCTGAGGACAGAGCAGGATTTTCCCAAGTTTATGAGCTGTTCCATGCAGGCTTGCTAGTGAGTATTTGTGTCTGGCTGGCAGAATTTCCCCAAGACTTCCTTTCTCTTGAAAGTTCCAACTAGCATTTAGGGATAGGGAAGGGGTCTATGGCCCCTAACTGCCTGACGTTGCCCATAGTTAGTGGAAGAAGCAGCATTTGCTGAACAGCCACATTTACTAGATCCAGTCACACTGCTTCTTCAGTTGGCAGATAGAGAAACTGAGGCAGAGAGCCAAATGCAGAACAGTGGCAGGAGACCAGTGCTTCTGGCTCCTGGACCGGGGCTGCTGGTGTGGGTCACAGCTTCTCACACTGGGATGAAGAACCAGTTTTTTCTCTTCCAACCTGTCTCAGACCAAGAACGTTTATAAATTATAACAAACTGACTGTAAACTGTCATGGCAGCTCAGGCTGCCATAACAGTCTACCACAGATTAGGTGGCTTAAACAATGGAAATATTTATTTCTCACAGTTCTAGAGGCCAGGAAGTCAAAGATCAAAGTGCCAGGTGATTCAGCATCTGGTGAGAAAAGCCACCTTCCTGGCTTATAGACAGCCACTTCCTGCTGTGTCCTCACATGGCGGAGAGTGAGCTCTGGTCTCTTCATCTTCTTGTGAGGGCACTAATCTCATCATGGGAGCTTCACCCTCACGACCTCATCTAAACTCAGTCCTCTGCCAAAGGTCCCACATCCAATTACCAGGACCCTGGGAATTGGGGCTTCAACATACGGATTTTGAGGGGACACAAACGTTCAGTCTACATAGTGATTTACCATGGGCTTCCCAAGTGGCAAAGAGTCTGCCAGTCAGTGCAAGACACTCAGGTTCGACCCCTGAGTCAGGAAGATCCCCTGGAATAGGAAATGGCAACCCATTCCAGTATCCTTGTCTGGAAAATTCCTTGGACAGAGGAGCCTGGCTGGCTACAGTTCATGGGATCCCAAGGAGTCGGACACAACTGACAGACTGAACACACAGTGATTTACCAGGAAACTGAAATAATAGTAATTTATAAAAAGGTATATGAAATGTAACCGCCCCCTTGTATTAGATTTTATTTTTAAGAGCAGTTGTGGGTTCATAGCAAAACGAGTATTCTCATAAACTTCCTGCCCCAACACATGCACAGACTCACCCACAATCAACATCCCTCACCAGAGTTGTATATGCATCATAATCGAACCCATATTGGTGTGATTCTCACCCAAAGTCCATAGTTCATACAGGGGTTCACTGTTGGTGTTGTATAGTCTATGAGTTTTAACAAATGAATGACATGTATCTATCATTATAATGTGCTCAGTCACTCAGCTGTGTCCCCATGGACTGTAGCCCGTCAGGCTCCTCTGTCCACGGGATTATCTCAGCAAGAATTCTGGAGTGAGTTGTCATTTCCTACACCAGGGGCTCTTCC